ACTTGCAAGAGATCGACCATACCGAATCAATATAATTAACCCTTAACAGTTAATCATAAACCCAATGCACGGCACAATGCTAGGAACCTAGGCCCATAATATCCTTCTCTATATATATACGTACTACATCATTACTTCAAGAAAATATATATACATATTCTTGGCAGAAGAACTCTAATAATATCTTGAACTATCCATGGTCCATATATGGTCTTCGTTCAACCTTTGAAGATTTGCGTCTGTTACGTTATGCCTGCAATTATAATTAATATAATAGTCATCGATACAGCTTTCTCAACGTGATGGATCTGATCCAAAATTAACAAATTAGACAAATATTGGAGCTCACATGCGCGCGCTCTGATTAGTCTACCATGTCCTACTAGCTTTTATATTTGGATAGATCCAGATTAAAAAGTAGGGTAGTTTGGGTTGATGCTAATTGGAAGCCAAATGGGTTATGGTGAAGAAAGTTATAGCAAATTAAGCGTGGGCATTACTATCCATTTAGCTGCAAACAAGACTATTATATTTATTATTTAAACTCCCAAAAAATTGGTACGGTACATTTTAGCATCAAACAAAACGGCTATAAATGATATAGACTGTAGTAAGTTGGCTCTAGTATTAAACTTCTTATTATTATTAGATTTGCAGCAACTTAGGACTTTGTTTGGCTTGTTGTCCGAACTAACTCTATCAAAATTTGATAAGAGATTAGGGCATGTTTGATTTGCAGTATTACCAGAACTACCAAATTTTTTAATAGGGTAATAAATGAGCATATTTAGTTTATTGTCATACAAAAAATTTAGTAGTGCCAATTCAATAGACAAACCAAAGATGTCCTTAATTTTCGTAGCTGCACGGATTAATATAGCGTAACATTCTACTCCCTGCGTTACATGTTTTGGCTTCATCTTTCGTCTAGATTCACTACACTGTCCATATAAATTTGGATTTGGATACATATGAAACACATATATAAATCCATGCATGAATCTATTCAAAACGTAAAATATATAATATGAACAAAAGAAGTAGTTTGGAATTTACTACTATTGCGTCTACAAATATGATATACGCATCAGAAATTTAATGAGACTAATGATCTACCATTAATGTAGTTTTTTCAGTGTGTGTTTGCATAGGTATAGGCGTGTGGTGTGTACGTGTATAGTGGTGTATGTATGCGGGTCTTTTGTGTAATGAAAAAAGAGCCTGGACAATTGCAGAAGAAAAAAACAAAACCTGAAATGTGGTATTAAAAAGTTAAATATATTTGCAGATAGGAATGGATTTTTTTCATTTTTGAACTTTTTAATTTTTAATTAAAAAATCTTTCCAAGACTTATTTTAAAGATATGAACTTTTTAGCCATACTAGCTAGGCTGATGTGGTAAAACAATACTTGCGTGCCGATCTAGATGGTGTGACACCATTTGGCCACGCTGATCTAGTTGGCGTGACATAATAAAACTGTCACACTTGTTAGAGGTAGCGTGACACTGTTATTTTACCAAGCCAAGCAGGTTGGCGTGACCAAAAGTTTAGTTTTGAAAATAAGTTTGTCTGTTTTTAAAATAAAACAAATTTAAAAAGTTTTAAAATAATAATAAAAAACCGTAGGAATTTGCCTTGCGTATGAAAATTCTTCAGTCAATTGCACAAAATTTAGAAAGCATAAATGTTTCAACAATTTGGCAAGTGAAAAAAATGCGTGCATGACAGGTTGTACGCACATATATACAGTGATGCCACATGGACGGATTCACAGTGACACAATTGCTTGGGAGATCCCATACATGTCTGAACTGAACTAGACAATCGACTACGTACACCGCAGAAAGCTACACCACAGAAGCTGCCAGATTGCTCGCTGCAATGCCTTTATTTTATCCTATTGTGCTGATAAGGAGATAGCTGGATCTTTTTTTATACATATTTGTCCAATAAAATAACATTGTGTGATTGACCGATCTTTACAATTAATGTCCGGTAATAACGATGATGCAATCGATCGACACCGTGTTGAATTATCTGCGATCCTTGTTAATTACTTCGAAGGAGGTAGCACCGTGTAGTACTTGCAGTTGCAGATGTGATTTTGAAGCATTATTCTGCATATCCGCGTGATTTTGAAGCATTATTCTGCATATCCGCCTGATATGTTTGAAAGTCCACGTGCTACGTCTACATGTTGAACCTTACTATAGTCTATATTGGCAATAAAGTACTCCATTGGTTTTTTTTTTTCTAAAAAAGACAATTAAGTACCAAAGGGCATACAGATATCTCTTTTGAATTTCATCCAGAAATAGTGTTTGGGCACACAATTATCTCTTTTGAATGTAGGAATAGAAAACTTTGGATTAGGATAAACATAGTAACGCACATGATTAAAAAATACAGGAAAAATACGACATGTCTTCCTAAGCAAGCATACAGCCTTATCTTTTCGCTTATACTTATCAAGAAAAAAAAATAAATTTTCAATCTTAAATTTGGAGTTGATTTTGAAGTTTTTTTCGTCGAAGTTTATTTTTCAGCTTTTACTTTTAAATCACTAAAAACAAGTATGAAAAATTTTTACTCACAAATTATTTTTCGATTGCAAACATGCCATTTGGCTTATTTCCTTAATAGGTGTTTAAACGATCATTTAGAGCCACATGCATCGATTTACATTGGACTTTTCTCAAATAGAAAAAAAAAGTTTTGCAAAAAAAGAGAGAGAGAGAAATGAAATGAAAAGAGGTCCTCAACTATGCTCTTGGTTACTATTGACCTTCAACTTTCACAAAACCGTTGATATTTCATCCCTGGCCTTAAACAAATATGTTTTTATGATGTGGTACCACATTGGAAAATAGCTATACTAATCAATAATGAATAACAACATAACGAAACAAATTAAGAAATAGAATCCACATGGCATCATCACCTCAGCTCCCTCCTTTCTTTCCACCTCATATTTTATTTTTTAAATTTTCATTTGCCAACTAGGATGCCACATGGCACGACATCATCGAAAACCAATTTTGTTTTTAGCCTAAGGATGAAATGTGACTGATTTTAAGAGTCGAAGGACCAATAGTAACCAGTCTTTTAGCTAGGGGATGAAAGCCGGACCAAAGGTCCTAGTTGAGGGATAAAAAGTTCACTTTCTTTATTCTTTTAAATATTTGAATTTGGATGAAGGATAAAAAATGAATGATTCTAAATTTTTAATTAATAATTATGAAGTTATAACTAAAGTAGACTCTTCTTTTAATGTAGCTATTACTACCTCCGTCTCAAAATAATTATAATTCTAAACTGTTTAGCATATATTAAGATTTAAGAAGAAAGGCTATGATGCCCCTCATTAGATATTATATAAATAAAAGTGAGAGGATGGTTGAGGGAAGAATAGGAAGAAATTTGAATAAGAAGTGATTGATGTGACACTTAGTACTATATTGTAACAACTATTTTAGGATAATTTGAATTCTAAAAACAATAATAGAAATTTAGTGTATAGTGTCAGTAATAATATTGCTCGTCATTTTTATAGGTCGGGGACTAGTATCGTGAGATAATTACTGTCTATAGTATGATCAAATTGTTGCGGGCTTTGCCGCCAGCTTTGTGCCACACGGGTTATTTTTCCTTACGGAATTTATTTTTGCAAATTTTAAAGATTAAAAATACAAGAAAAATTCTCATCGTCAGTCCTGACGCGCGTACTTGTTAATTTATCATTTATTTTGTGAAGGGAATAATCCTGAGGCAGTTTGGGTTGACCTGTGGCCAAGTCAAGCATCGATCACGAGCGTACACAAGAGAATAAGGCAACACGCGGGAGCCACATTGTAGCTGAATGGTTGTTTCGACAATTGGAGAACAGAGACAAAGCAAACAATCACCAAATCATGCATCGTTGAACGTTTCTGTCGTGGTTATCACAAAATGGGGCGCACCACGGTTGCTTCTTCCCCTGCCTGCCATCCTTATCGTTGGGTTTTCACTACTCTAGTGCCTCATTATATAAAAATCTCCAATTCGGTGAAAGTGACATGCAACTGGTAAACTACAACGAGGTGATATCGACTCTCAATACTTCCATCCATCTATATTATAACTTTAATATGGCAACGTAATCGATCAAAATGGCAACATGAAGGAATTTTCTTAGATTTTAAAGTACAGTAAAATTAAAAAAAAGAGTGATTTTTTACATACCCCCTCCGTGTTGTTATGTACATATGATTTTATTTTTATAAAAAAGTAAGAGGTTTACGGATTTATCGTTAACTTACTACTCAAAATATAATAATTTTTATAATTTAAAATTTATCATAGAATATAACAACTTATCCAACTAGTATTACATTGTCTCAACAATTTCTCCACATACTCATGTCAACCCATCACGACCATTCCCATTTAACTTATCTTATTACATCTATAATGAAAAAAAAATCATATATTTTAGGATGGAGGGAGTCGTAACTATCAGTCCGTAAGACTTATCATCAATAAAAAATAATTTAAGAGAAAACATTTTTATATGTGTTCTTCCCAATTTAAAAATTAATGCTGAAAAATAAATTACATTGAAAAAAAAACGAAAAATCAACTTCAAAAGTTAAATTTTAAAAATTCAAAATTTGATAGCTGCTTATAAGCCGTTGGGTAAAACGGTAGAGTAGTGCGAACTAGAAATGGTGAGGTGAAATATCTACTACTGTAAAATCGGAGTGGTAGTAATTGTCATTCTCCCTCCACCTTCGTACTTCTCCAGTCTCCACTAGAGAAAAAAAACATCGGTCTAAAAACCATCACGTCGAAAAGACCACCAAAAAAACCACGTACCAAAATTTGAGAAAAAAAAACAAAAACAGATAAATCTGAACCATAAAACCACCATCCGTTCGTACTTTTCTTAATCCTATTGTAAAGCATATGGGCATAGCACTAGGTAGATAAAAATTGGCCGAAGGTAGTGCAAGCTGCAGCAGCTAGCTCCCACGGCCGGCAGTCTCAAATACCCAACGCATCAACGGCCCCCACCTCCCAACCAGCAAACGTGCTCCGCCTTGGAATCCTTCAACTTCAAACGCACCGCGGAGATTTCTTTCTCCTCTCGCGGATAAATCTCGGCTTTTGCCGTTGCTTCCTCCATCCATCTCCATCCATCCCCTGTTGCCTCGGCGAGCTACAGGCAGCGCCATCTGCTGTGCGAGACTAGCTATAGCTCTGTGTGATCCTGTCTGCACCGGAATGCGCGATGGCGAGGCCTTTCGGCGGCTACCTCCGCCGCTGCTTCTGCTGCTCCTTCTTGCTGCCGGCGTCGCGCGCGGCCAGCAGACGACGGCGCCGCCGGTGGTGCCGGATGCGCTCAACAACCTCACCAGAGACGTCGCCGACTACATCTCCCACCGCTTCAGCTTCTGCGTCGCCGACCCGTACGCTCTTCTTTCTCTTCTCCCCCCACCCCCCGTTCATTTCGGCGGCGCCGTTCTTCGCCGCCGACCTCTTAAAACTTTTTTCCTTTAGCTTTCTTGATTTCAATGGAATTGTTGATGATTTTTGGTTGGTTTTGGTGTGTGTTCGCTTCAGGACGGAGGATTGGAATGAGGCCTTCAATTACACCTCGGATCTTGGATTCGTGCAGAACTGCCTCGCGGAGACAAGAGGTAATTAATTAAATTTAAATTCAGTTAGATTTCCTGTTCGATTGCTTGTTTGATTGGTTCGTGTGTTGCTTTCTTCATCGTTGAAGCGGTTTCTCCTTTTTTATTTGTTTCCCATCTGAATTTAGCGGATTGAATGTGACGGCCATGCTTACACATTTTTTAATCGAATATTTATCCGTGTATGCTCCAATCTAATGAACTGAACCAACCTGAGTTTTGAACTTATTTTTATTTATAAGCACATGGTTTACTTTTTCTTTTTGTAATTTCAAGTGATTGGTTTTCAGATAACACTACTTTTTTCGATGGTGCGGTGGTGCCAATTCAGATAATTATATTAGAATTCAGTCATTAGCATAAATGCACTTCAAATTCTTAGAAATGGTTTTCTATTCGGAGATCCTAATTCAAGGTTGTCTAAGCCGACTCGCAAATATTTTGTCGTCGTATACTGTTTGTGCTTGCTTTGTAAGCATCCCGGTTTCTTTTTTTTTTAATTTTGGTTTGGAATCTAGTTTCTAATATTCACCTCTTATAATATTCATAGTTATGTCCTAGATGCGACATTGGGATATGCTGATTGAGATTTGGTTCTTTGGAATTGTTCACCTGCACATGCATTTCCTGAACATTGTTTAGTAGGAGTGCTTAGCAGAGGATGAAACGATCTGATGGAGGACAAGTGGAGCATGCAACCCTATAATAATCATCCATTCCGTAATTTAGTAGGGAAAGACTAACATTATAACTTGTTAATGTTAGCTGAGTGTGACACGGGACTATGGTGTTTGACGTGATCAACTCTAACTAATATTTTCTATTCGTTTGTTTAGTCTTAAGAAGCTAGACAGTTTGACCTGTTCCTATCTCTAATTATCCTGCACTTATTATTTATTTTACATGTCACAACAATCCAATTCGGTAGTTAGATTCAGTTCTGGACTTCTGATATAGTATAGTAACTTGTTTCAATTCGACAAATCTGTTGAATGTGACAAAAGTAACCATTATGATTAAGTTTGAAGTCAAATATCTCATTTTCACATTGTATCATAGAAGTGACTAATTCCGACTACCATGCTTCCACACTGAAAGGCGAGGCTTGAACACTGATTGGTGTGGCAATGCCAAGCACAAAGCCTGAAAAAATAATTTACAGTATCATTTTCCTTATGGTACTGTGACAAAATCATTATGATTATGATTATGCCTCTGATCCGTTGATTGTGGCAAAAATAATCATTATGATTAAGTCTGAAGTCGCATGTTTTATTTTCGCATTATATCATAGAAGTGACTACCACGCTTCCACGCTGAAATGCGAGGCTTGAACACTGAACATGTCTAGTTTGCAACATTTTCTCCTTAAAAAAAATGATTTACAACATCATTTTCCTTACCAAGGCAGGTCAGGCTGCCCATGAACATGTCTAGTTTTGGCATTCTCTAATGTGAAAAAGATATTCATTCAGGTGATTTGGGAGGGCGTCTGTGCACACCGAACGAAGTGAAATTCTACTTCTCGAGTTTGTATGATCGAAAAGGCGAAAAAAACCTCTTTCTGAAAACCAACATAAACTGCAACAGATCATCTTGGGTTCAGGGCTGTGAGCCAGGGTGGGCTTGCTCTGTAGGTTCAGGCCCTAACCCCCAAGGCAATATTCCACCAAGAACTGCAAGTTGTCAGCCGTGTTGCGAAGGCTTCTTCTGTCCCCGTGGTCTTACATGCATGTTGCGTGAGTGATTTCTACATTTCCCGCATGGCTGTTCTTATTGTCAATTAATTTGTGTGGAGACCATATATTTATCTTGCTGAATGACTTGAGTTTCATGTTTGTTTTTTTGCTTTAGCTTGTCCATTGGGATCATACTGTCCGCGTGCCACTGTGAACACAACCACTGGTCTTTGTGATCCGTAAGATTTTTTTTTAAAAAAAATTCTGTTCTTATTGTTCTGCATTTGCCTTCTTGAAAATATAAACACAATGCTTACAAGGTGAATTTTCTGAACTTTGATTAGATACAAGTATCAGATAACTCCAAATACAACTGGCTGCGGGGGTGCTGACACATGGGCTGATTTTGGGAGCACTGAAGAGATGTTCTGTCCAGCCGGTTACTACTGTCCAACACCAACAAAAAAGGAACCTTGTAGCGAAGGGTACTGATCCAATCATACTCCTTGTATGACTTATTTGACATATATTACAAAGATTATTTGATTTTAAACACTAGGTGACTGATGATTCTTGTTTTTTTCCTCCCCTTCAGGCACTATTGCAGACTGGGTTCCACCACTCAAGACAGTAAGCATCATTAAAATAGATTGATACTTCATTTTCTTATTGAATCATGCAGTTATAGTATCTACCATCCAGCAAGCTGAATTTATTCAAAATCTGCAGAATGTATCATAAAGGGATCCTGCAAGGAGAAGACAGAGAATGAAAACATTGTCATTCTTGGTGGTTGTTTAGTGGTAAATTCCATCAACAAAGTCATCATTTCACTATCTTGCTAGCTTGATGGTTGCCTCTTTTAAGATCCAGTGAGTGCAATGGACTGCAGACTGTACTGGAAAATGTGCCTAATTCAGGTTGAACACTTGGTGCAGGGCATGTTGTTTGTATTTCTTCTGATCATATACAACTGTTCAGGCCAGTTCCTGACTATCCGCGAGAAACGGAAAGCGAGATCGAGGGAGAATGCTATTCAGTTGGCACGTCAGCAGCTCAAAGCGCATGAGGGATGGAAGGCGGCGAAACGACTGGCGAGGAAGCATGTCAATGACATGCAGAGTCATCTCTCACGTACATTCTCTCGTAGGAGATCATTCCGTCAGCATCTGGACTCGGAGAATTCTGGCCATAGGTTGCAGGAAGCACCACTGTTTATGAACCAGGAGTTGTCGGATTCTGCTGCATTTTCAGCTCATCAGAGCACTGGTGAGATATCTGAAGTCATGCCTTCAGTCGTTGTGGATGTTAGCGATGATGGAGAAATTGTTGCCGGCAAGGATAGATCTGCACCAAAAGGCAAGCACAGATCAACACACACGCAGATCTTCAAGTACGCATATGGTGAGATCGAGAAGGAGAAGGTCAGGCAACAGGAGAACAAGAACCTGACCTTCACTGGAGTGCTCTCCATGGTGTCAGAGCAGCAGAAGGAGATAACAAGGCCTCTGCTCAAGGTTGAGTTCAAAGACCTGACCCTGTCACTTGGAAAGAAGAAGCTGTTGAGGTCTATCAATGGCGAACTCCGGCCTGGCCGTGTCACTGCCGTCATGGGCCCATCCGGGGCCGGCAAGACCACATTCCTCAATGCTGTTACAGGGAAGGTAGCTGGCTATAAGGTGTCAGGTTCAGTTCTTGTCAATGGGAGGCATGACAACATCCGTTCTTACAAGAAGATCATTGGATTTGTTCCTCAAGATGATGTTGTTCATGGGAATTTAACAGTGGAAGAGAACCTTTGGTTCAGTGCAAAGTGCAGGTAAAATTATTAATATAAAAAAGTTTACTTGACAATTACTATCTCTGTTTCAAAATATAAGACATATTTTGTTTCGTTAGGACAATTCTTTGACCAACAATTACTCTACTGGGATATGATTTTGTGACACAAAATTGGATTTGTTAGATTTGTGTTCAAAAGTACTTACTTACGATTATGCGTTTGTATCACATAAGTCATATCATAATAAAGTAATTGCTGGTCAAATCCTTGTCCTAACAAAACAAAACAATTGAAACGGAGGAAGTATTTATATCAGATTGCCATTTCAGTAATTAGCTCAGCATATTCTTATCATTTCTACTATCTTCAGGCTCTCTGCGACAACGGCACACCGCCACAAGGTCCTCACTGTGGAGAGGGTCATAGACTCCCTGGACCTTCAGGGAGTCAGAAGTTCATTGGTTGGAACTGTGGAGAAGCGCGGGATCTCTGGTGGACAGAGGAAGCGTGTCAATGTGGGTATTGAAATGGTGATGGAGCCATCACTTCTGATCCTGGATGAACCAACCTCTGGCCTGGACAGCTCCTCTTCACAACTGCTCCTCCGAGCACTACGTCATGAGGCGCTCGAAGGCGTAAATGTTTGCGCAGTTGTTCATCAACCGAGGTTACTCTCAGACCATCTTTTTCTGAAGATAGTACTCATCTTTCTGAAAGATTTCTAATATTTTCTTGTTTGTGTTATTCAGCTACACATTGTACAACATGTTTGATGATCTGATACTTCTGGCAAAAGGAGGTCTAATTGTTTACAATGGTCCGGTCAAGAGTGTGGAGGATTACTTCTCAACTCTTGGGATCACTGTCCCTGAAAGAGTTAACCCACCAGATCACTACATTGACATTCTTGAGGGCATTGTGAAGCCTGAGTCAGGCATCAATGCGAAGCATTTTCCATTGCACTGGATGCTCTACAATGGCTATGAAGTGCCAAATGACATGAAAGATGATCTCAAGGCAATAGGTGAACAGAGACCACATTTGGGGTCCAGCCCTTCAGCTGGATCAACACCTCATTGCCTTCCTCATGTCAGGAATGCTTTTGCTGAAGAGCGTGATCGTATCGAGCACCATTTGTCTAAACCAAAGGATTTGTCCAGCAGAAGAACACCAGGGGTGATTAGACAGTACAAGTACTACCTAGGAAGGTATGTTCAATTCAATGCATATAATCTTTTTATGAAATCTTGAACAACCATGTGATCAAATTTTCATTGTTCCAATGATAAAATTTTCGAAAGATTAAAAGTTATTCTTTCATGTGTGACATCACAGGGTCACAAAACAGAGGTTGCGCGAAGCTAGGTTGCTTGCAGTTGATTTTCTGATACTAGGCCTTGCTGGGATCTGTCTGGGTACTATTGCAAAGCTCAGTGATCCAAATTTTGGGATGCCTGGCTACATTTACACCATAATTGCAGTTTGTAAGTTCAGAGTATTCAGATTATACTGTCATTGCAGTACGAACTTGATTATTTGACTGACATAAATTACTACTTCTGCAGCTCTGTTGTGCAAGATTGCAGCACTAAGGTCGTTTTCACTTGAAAGATTGCAATACTTGAGGGAAAGAGAGTCAGGGATGAGCTCATTGGCATACTTTCTTGCTAGGGATACAATTGATCATTTCAGCACGATTGTGAAGCCGATCGTTTACCTCTCCATGTTCTACTACTTCAATAATCCAAGATCTACAATTACCGATAACTATATCATTCTCCTCGCACTTGTGTACTGCGTAACCGGTATAGGATACACTTTTGCTATCTGCTTCAACCCTGGTTCTGCACAACTGGTATGTATCATAAAGATTGTTCAACTTTTGCAGTTTCTTCTGATTAATAATATATTTGGAGACTAACCCTGAAACTTTTGCAGTGTTCTGCATTGATCCCAGTTGTTCTGACTTTGTTATCCACTCAAAATAATACCCCTGCAATTCTCAATAGATTATGCTATCCAAAGTGGGCATTAGAGGGTTTCATAATTGTAAATGCAAAAAGGTATTACTTACTCATCATGCTTGCATGTTGCATGATCATATCTAGATACACAATCATCATCACATCTGCCAAAATATTCATTTGTAAATTAGCAGCTCGAGTTAATGCGTTTTTCTTTTCTATTTCAGGTATCCTGGAGTTTGGCTTATAACTCGCTGTGGGTTGTTGTTCAGAAGTCGTTTCGACATTCATCATTACATGCTCTGTATTTTGGTTCTGTTTATGTATGGTCTGTTCTTCAGAATTGTTGCATTTGTGGCCTTGATTTTAGTGAAGAAGAGATGAGCAGAGGGCAATTGCACCAACTTTTCACATTTGATTCTTTCATTATTTTGTACAGTTGTAAATCAGTTTTGATACTACAGATGAAATATAGAGAATACTTCACTTGCGTGTCCTGATCATAAAAGAAAAATGATACAAATGCAGAAGTTTTGAATATGTTATAGTCGTTAAAAAACTAATGTTGAACATATGTTATATGAGATTGACTGAACGGTACCTACCGTATAAAAACATCCCCAAATTGGTTTTAGTAAGGCAATAGGCAATTCGTTGAATGTTAGGTATATAACGCAAGGATTTCATATTTTCAGTATGATTATATATGTTGTCACATTATACTGCACGAACATCCCCGCAAAAATATCACACAAATATGCATTGCACGTGCAAACTAACTGGTTACATGTAAAAATCAGTGCTTTGTTATGGACCTATATTTTACCTTAGTTCGTTGATACAAATTCAATGCTTTTCTAAGTAAGTTACATTCACATTACATTAACTTGGCAATTGGGTGTAATTTAGTGCTAAGAATTTGAGAACTGAGCGTGCCAGTACAACAACTTAACAAGTGGACACAACTAGTACAAGAATAAGTGAGCGTACAGATATAGCAACTTGAAAGGTGGGGGTGATTATGGTACAATAACTTATAAGAAGTGGTGTAACAAATTAATTATTTCAAGCATTTTCGGCTATACTCATTCAGTTTTTAAGTACTTATTTTGTTAATATACTTATGCATATTTGTATAGGCATACTTATTTTGGTTATTCTAGTAATTAAAAGTCAATGAAATTTTACTGTGTTGAAACTTTTTTGGTTGAGATTTGAGATGGTGAAGAAAAAATTAAACCATGAGCAACACAATTCTTGCAGACTACATCAAAGATTGTAAGATAATATCTACAGGATTATTATGTGAAGATACGCTGACATCGTGAAAAAACTTAGGAGTACATAGCACTCTTAACCAAAATAGCACATGTCTAGCCAAGTTATTGCACTAAAAGACCATAAATTACCAAGTTTCTATATTAAAGCGCACTATCTTGTCAGGTTATTGCACTTGAATGTTCTATTATCAAGTTCTTGTGTTAAATTGCACCCATCTGCTAACTTATTTAATTATAACGTGGATACAATTTACTCTACACTTAATATGGAAATTAATTTAATAGGTATTTTTTAAGTTGATAAGACAATTAACTGAGTAGAAAGTTTTGCCATTTGAATTAACTGAGCAATGATACATACAGTTTCATTTATTTGAATAAGAGTAAATTGCACTCCTGATACATGAACTTGTGATGTGGGTGCAAATAGGTAGAACAACTTGTAAAGTGCTCGTTCCAGTACAATAACTTGCATAGCTCGTGCAAACCTAGTACAAAACAACACAAACATGCAAAATTGATATAATGTGTAGTACCATAATGAAACATATGCACGCTAGCTATTGTTTGTAGTTGTGCAGACCTGAGTACACTAACTTACCTTCAGTTTTTGCAGTACGGATTTTATTTTTCAAACAAAACAACTGCTATGCAATTTATTTTTTCAAAACAAAGAAACTACTAGCCCGCAAAGGTGTCACCAAGATGCACCACGTTATATCAATTTTGCTTGCGTGGGTTGTTTTTGCCTATGTTCGCACAAACTAGTCAAGTTATTATACCAAAACGAGCAATTTTAAGTTGTTGTACCTATTTGCACCCACCAAACAAGTTCACGTACCGTGAGCGTAATTTACTCTTTGAATAATTATATAGTTATTAGTAGCAACATCACATTCGAGAGACGAGAATGAAACTCACAATTGTACAATCTTAAGTAATTCTTCCAGTAGAAAATATTTGTAGTTTTGAACAAGACTGACGTCATACCTTCAAAACTTTAACTATAAATAACTTTTTAAATATTTGCCTTAGAAACATGAAGACCATATATAATTAGATTAATCTTAAAATGTTTTTCAATAAAATTATATCTCATATATTTCTATATATACTGTAATAGAAACCAATACTCCATGTTTCATTTTTTTAAGGCTGTGTTTAGTTCAGCGCAAAGTTTGAATTTTGGTTGAAATTGGAGATGATGTGACTGAAAAGTTGTGTGTGTATGACAGGTTGATGTGATGGTAAAGAACTGAAGTTTGGATCCAAACTTTGAATCTAAACACAGCCTAAGGCTGTATCTCCATCCAAAACAACAATTATTATTAAACTAGAGAAAGTACTAGCATTTGACGTTACATTTATTTTTATAGAAGTATCTTCATCGTCAGAGGCGACCAAGCAACCAGTAAGACAGTATATATATTCATTTGAAACTTTCCAGCTCTGCGAGGAACGCGTCGACGTGCTCCTCCTTTACGCACAGCAGCAGAACGCTGGCGCCGCCGCTGTCGCGAGGCAGGCACGCCACGCAGCTCGGCACCGCCGTCGGCCCGACATGGCACATCACCCGCGCCGGCCTCCCGCCGCCGAAGTCCACCGCCTCGAACCCGATGTTCCGCCAGCTCGCCACGTAGAATGCGTTGTACCCGAACAGCGCGCTCATCAGCTGCCTCTCCACGCGCGCCGCCGCCCCGTTCATGGCGACACCGCCGTTCTCGAACTGAGCCGGGATCAGCTCCTTGGCTCGCCGGATCAGCTTCACCACGTCGTTGGCGTCGCCGTTCGCCACCTCGCCGCTCGTCGCGGCGACCACCTGGGAGGTGACGCAGTTGCCGTAGTAGCCGTGCTTGGCGCCGACGTGCTTGTGCACGTTGGCCGCGAAGACGAGCGGCGCGGGCGTGTCGGCGTCGGAGTCGCCGGAGATCAAGACCGCGCGCGTGCGGCTGCGCCACAGCACGGCGGCCACCGCCTCGAACACGGTGCACGGCTCGCCGCCGGAGCGTGCGACGTCGCCGACGTCGTCGAACGCCGCCTTGACGCGTCCGATCACGCTCGAAGGGATGGTGACGTCGAGGTACGCGAACTGCTTGCTCTCCTGCGTCAGCATCGCCTTCTCCATGGCGGCGACCAGCGGCGGGAGCTCCGGGAGGGAGTCGTCGCCGCAGCTCACCGGCAGGACGGACGGCCGCGGCAGCCCCCGCGCGAGCTCGCCGACGGCACGCAGGAACTGAGCTATGCCCTTGCCGTCGGCGACGACGTGGTTCCACGTCATGCCGACGACGAACCCGCCGCAGGCGAACTCCGTCACCTGCATGAGCAGCAGCGGGTCGGCCTCGGCCTCTCCCGCCGCCGGGTGCGCCACGGCGAGCTCCTTCAACAGCGCCGCGAACGGCGGGTCGAACAGCTTGACGTCGTCGAGAGCGCAGCTCGCCGTCGCGGAGACGAACGCCACGCCCTCGCCGGTGCAGGAGACACAGAGCTGGTCGCCGCCGCCGTCGGCCGCTCCGGTGATGACGAGTCGGCCGGCGATGGGGTAGTAGTAGACCAGAGCTTGGGACAGTGCCCCCTTGATCGTCATGGCCGGCTCGACGATGCCATTGTCGAAGACGTGGAACGACGTGAAGAGGTAGGAACCAATGGCTTTGTCGAAGGAGGATAGGTTGATGACGTCAGCGACGGTCGGCGCCACCGGCTTGGTTGTCGGCGGGCCGACGAGCTCCGGCGAGGATTTGTTCACGATGTAACTCATTACTACAGTAATTAGCACTAAAATTTAATGTTGCGAGAACTGATATATCGCCCTGTTTAAATAGACGTGCTTTTAGACACGTGTGCAGTTAAAATCAAAAACTTCGAACACAAGTAAACTGACGTTGTTATATGACCCATGGAATAATAATGTGCCTAAGGGCTTCTTTGGAATAGAGAAGATTTGTTGGAGAAGTAGAGGAATTCATTCCAAAGGAAACATTTTCAATAGTCAAAATTTCAAAATTTAACTTATTCATTTTCAATAGTCAAAATTTCTTGTTCCATATAATGTTTTAATACATAGAATGTTCTTATTTCTCTACTTAGTGACATTTGTTTCACATAAAATGATTTATGTTGTTTAGCTTATAAATTATTCTGACGAAACTACAGATCGGTCACCTGATTTCTAAAAAAATTTGAAGGTGGCTACCGAGTGAAACATTAAGTTATAATGATAAAAAAAAATCAGTTGTTGAAACATTTAAAAATTTTGTGAAACATAGTGAAAACACATGTTGAAACATGTCGTATCACATATGAAACAATGAGTTTTAACCGTTTAAAACATATGTTTTTCTTTCATTGGAATATAATCATGCAATATTTTGTTATAAAGATTTAATTACGATGAATACAATAAGGTCGGATAATGAAGAAAAAAATATTTTAAATCTTGCTAGATGCATACAAGCATAGATAAAGTGAAGGGAGAGCAAGACAATAGAAAGGCAAATTTTGTAAAGGGACATCGTGACTTCGTAGTTTTAGTTGTAGGAGACAGAGAAGTGACTTTTTGGGGGGAAAACACTCTATTAATATGGTAATTTGCCAGTGGACACCACACCCATTAAAATGATAATTTCAAGTTGAAGAGGAGAGAAAAATCGTGTGAAATGTTAAGAAATACCCCTGAACCCACATGTCAACTCTACTAACTACTAGTGGAGAAATGTCACGCCCGGAAATTCACTAATAATTTCCGAACTAATTTGTGCATAAAATCCTCGTCCAGGAATCAGCCGAGGTACACAAACTGATAATTTAATATACAAATCCATCATAATAATAACGTTACATACTTACAAAAGAAAAGAAAAACAGCAGCGGAATTAACGGTCTAGCGATGGCTTCAGCTCCACTCCCATAGGCAGCTCAACTGGGGTATAAGCCAAACGTCTTCTCCTTCTGGATCCTTTATCTTCAACTGAGGTTTGATGATTATTGCAAGAATGAGCATATGACATACTCAACAAGCCACACAGCAAATATGCAAGTGCACAAGGATTCCAAAGGATGGCATAATATAGGCTCATTTGCGAAAGCAGCATTTAGCAAAGAGTTAAGAGTAGTAAAACAGTAGATTAATTAATCAGAAGTTTTAATCAACACTGAACAGCACACCCATGCTGTACAGGCCCAACCATCCTGAACAACCATACCCGGCTGAACAGATCTAACTCCAAACCAGGAGCTAAGCAAATTATTACCAGTTATTACATCCATAATTATTGTGAAAGGTGTGAGACTAATCACGAAAAACATTGCTCAACCCGCCCATAACCGCGGGCACGGCTATTCGAATAGTTTTACTCTGGCCAGAGGTGTACCACTGTACCCACAAGACACGATTCCACACATGTTGCCATGCCCCGAAATACCACCACGGCATTGCAAAGGGGGAAATCGTGACAATACCCTTTGCACAACACAACTCAAAACAGTGCACCGTTCCTGGATCATAATCACCCCCTTATAAACAAGGCATGGACTCCCCAGCGACCCCCGTGGACTTCTCGCCACTTCTCAGTCTGGCGCACTATAATGAACCATGCTATACAAAGGATAAAGCCGTTGCCCACGCTGGCTTGTGGTTGGTACGGTTAATGTCTCACAACAGTAGCTCGCGAACCGGTCCTTAATTGTCATGAGCACAACCATCAAAACCATATGCTCACAACCCACCTTAACCAGGTTTTAATTATCAATTAATTAACATCACACGATTAACCATCGTGAGCTACCATTAAATATAACCATAAATAATAATGTAGTATATATGATTCATCCCATTAGTGAGCTAATGTTTCTAAGCATTGCTAAGCAATTATATATATAACTTTTAGCTGAACCAAACCAATACATAAGGTTCAAGCTAATCAATTTATTACCCAAGGTATCAAGGAATAGGGCATTCAATGCAAATTGGCCATAACAAAGGAATAGGTTCACACCACCCGGTGACATTCGAAAATAAATGCATAGTTGAAATAAATAGAGAATTTAAATATAGGATCAACATGCTCAAAGGATTGTGTTTAGGATCTGTGTGACTTGCCTTGCAATAATCGATCTTCAATTAACCTTCTTGATCACTTCCGACGCACTCACGAACCTTCGCAACGACGGAAACGACAAGCTAACACGCAAAACGAAGAAAAAGACTAATAAAAACCAAATAAACAGTACATAAAAAGTAAACAAACATGTAGATCATAATTTTAGATGAATTATGAGACTTGAACGGCCTCATTCCGACTTCAAATGAATTTATTATGAATTTTACAAGATTAAATCTAATTAAAGTCCATTTAAAAAGACTTAAATAAATTTAATTCAATTTATGGATAATTTTAATATGTAGATCTTTATTTTAGAAAAATTTAGCAACTTGAACCACCTGAAACGGATCTATGGTTATTTAGTTATGATTTTCCGAAGATTTCATCTATTAGAAAAAAAGGAAAAAAAGAAAGGATGATGATGTCAGCATGACATCACCCACGGAGGCCGGCTAGGGTTGGCGACCTCGCCGGAGCTAGGGACCTTGGCCGGGTGATTGGAGGACACCTACGCGTAGAGGACGACGAGGCGAACCCAACGGTACTCACCACAACGACAAACGACGAACGATGATGGCCGGCGACGAAGAGGACGGCGGCGGCGGCTCGGCTTGACGGCGACGGCGGAGCTCCGGTGGTCGGCGGCGAAGGGGGACGGGCGGCCGAGGTTCTCCTCACCACGGCGCACCTAACGGCGGCGGCGGCAAGCGGCGGCGACGACGCAAGCGACGGCGCGGCGTGGCTGAAGACGGCCGGCGGCGGCGGCGAACTAAGTGCGCGCGGCGGCGACTCTACGGAGCACGGGAGACCACGGGAGATGGGGCAAACGAAGGAGGGGAACTAGGGGGTCCTATTTATAGCCTTGGATTGAAGAGATCGGACTCCTCCCGCAAGAAATCGATCCGAGAAAACTCGGTTTTGGAGATAAACTCGAAAACGAGTTTGATTCGGGCAAGATACTCAACCATTTGCTCCGATTCTTGAGGGGAAAGATAGAGGAGGACGAGAGGATAAAATCCCCTCAAAAACCCGGAAGAAAAAGAGCCGGATTGGAGCGGATTTGAGGGAGAAAAGGGGCGGCTCGGGCGACGGCTTGGGCTCGGCCGGCCGGCTGCTAGAGGAAGAAGAAGGGCCTGACATGTGGGCCCCACATGTCGGTGCCTAGAGGGAAAGGGTTTTTGAACTTTTTCAATTAAAAATAATTCGTGAAATGATGTTTTATTTATTAAAAATACTTCCCTTGCTCAAACAATTCCCAGAAAATTCTAGAAAATAGAGGAACAAGCAAAGTATTTAATAAAATTTTATCTAACCCAATTTTATATTGAGATTTAGCACATTAAAATTAGATCTTCTCTTTTAAGCTTTTAAAATCATTTCTAATAATTCCTTTTAAACAACAATTTATAATTTAAGGATTTTAAACAAGAAAAGCACTTAACAATTATAATTAGATCATTATTGATCAAATAATTACTGAACTGTTCTCTGTATCATTTACATTTAGGAATTGAGCTCCGAAAAATCCGAGAAAATTCCAGAGAGTATAATTAACCATGGAGAATTTAATAAAAATTAAATCCACCCATGCTTTATATTTAGGAAATTTTATTTCCCACATTTAACTTCACTTGTAAATTAATGAACATTTCATATAAATTCTATTAATAATTTATTAAATAATTTATAAATCCTAACACGAAAATCAGGGTGTGACAAGAAATCGTTTTTAGTCCCGGTTCGTAACCCCCCTATAGTCCCGGTTTTTAAATCGGGACTACGAACCCGGGACTAAAGATCCCTATCTTTAGTCCCGGTTCAAATACCCGGGACTAAAGATCGATCTTTAGTCCTGGTTGGTGTTACCAACCGGGACTAAAGATGGGAGTGGGCAATAGTTTTTTTTTCATTTACTTACTATTTAATCTCTAATTTATTTTCTCCCAAATTAGGTGGGATGCATACCATCCCAAATACACAAATCAATCATATACACTACAGATTATACATCCCAAATCAAACCCCAAATCAAAGAAACATCCCAAATATACAAATCATACACAAATCATGTACATCTCAGATCCATACAATGAGATTCCAAAAAAATAATTATACATCTCAATCCATACAATGAACCACAGATTCTTCATCTCAATCTACACATGGATCACAAATTCTTTGAAAAAAAATAAAAAAAAACGAAGTAAAGCCGCCGGCCGGCTGAGCCGGCTGCCGCCTCCCCTCCTCCCCGGCCGCCGCCGCACCGCCGCCACGGCCCTCCGCGCCGCCGCCGCGCTGCCCTCCGCCGGCCGGGCCGCCCACCCCCTCCTGCTGCGCACACTGGATCGAGTTGGGAAGGGGAGTTGGGAAGGGATAAGAAGAAAAAGAGATAAGGAGGAAGGGAAGAGATAAGATTAGAGATGGAGGGAGAGAGGAGTGGGTGTGGATGAGAAAAGAGTGGACGAGAAAAGAGGATAAGTAATATGGATTATATAGTGCGTTTTGATCTTTAATCCCGGTTGGTGTTACGAACCGGGATTAAAGATCCGATCTTTACTCCCGGTTCGTAACTGCAACCGCGACTAAAGATGCTGGAGGGGCTTGACAACACCTGACAGCATGTGAACCGGGACTAAAGATCATGTAGTCTCGTTCTACTTATAAACTGGGACTAAAAACCATCTTTAGTCCCGGTTTTTACTGCATCCGAGACTATTGTGGTTTTTGGTCGACCGGGCAAAGATGTTTTCTCCACTAGTGAACTGTTTTCTCTTTATATCCCCTCTGTTGGCGCCGTGGAGGTCATAGCATCTGACGGAAAGCAGCACGTGCATACAAGAGAGGGGTTGACGCAGACAACCATCACCCTCGCCCTCACAACGAGTTCTCTAGCGTGTGCCCTCCTAGCTGCATCGTCTGTGCTGCCATCCATTCAGCTTGGCCATGCCATCTCCACGTCGGAGCTGGCGACCTGCATGCCCTCGGCCTCGACGGGGAGGTACATGAGCGGCTTGGTGACGCCCGACCTACTGCCGCCCTGGCCCTCACAGCGAGCTCTCTACCAGGTGCCCTCCTAGCCGTGTTGTCCGTGTCGCCATCCATCAGCTTGGCCACAGACTTCTCCACGCTGGTGCTAGCAACCTGCACTTCCTCGGCCTCATTGGGGAGGAACATGAGTGGCGTGGTGACACCCGACCTGACACCAACGCCAAGCACATAAACGAGCAACCGCTCGCTGAACTAGTCGAGGATGGTTGGCCATGTCAGTGCCGGCAGGACATGGTTGATGGCCCTCCAGCACGGCGTTCTACCCATAGTGGGTTAGGAACCCGCCCGTGGCTGGGTGCTAGAGGATTGTAACATCCCTCCCTCCAGAACCACGCAATCCAGCTCAACCGACGGGCAGGCCCACTTATACATACCACTCCACTTACACTTTCATCCTCACTTAGTGCAAAAGGGTTAACCCAGGAGTGATATGGTTGGAGGGAGAAGCACTTATAAGTTGGTTCTATTGTTGCTAAACTAGTAAGATGGTACTAAACATGCACACAGCTCTTATGGACCACACAGTCCTCATCCTAATTGGGCCAGGATGTCACATACACCTCCCTGAAAGGACCCGATGTCCTCATCGGTCCAACTCACCCACATAGCGACACAATCATATAGGCAAATGTCCAAGAACAAAAAATGTGCCTCGCATAGACCCACATGCGCCATGCGCCATA